TTTTTTTTTTTTTTTTTTTTTTTTTTTTTTTTTTTTTTTTTATATATATATACGTAAATTGTTGGTGGTTAAATTGGGGAGTGCAAGTGTTTGAAATTGTTGTATTTGGTGAATTGGTGGATCTTCCATACATAAATTTACATTAAAGCCAAATTATATTATGTGGACGAAAATCCATTGTTTCTTTTTAATTTTATGTATTTCTAAATTAATTATTTATGTATTATTTTTATTTATACTTTCACTTCTTTGCACTGTAATTCTAAATGAATTGGTTAAAGAAATGAACGAAAAATTTAAGGCTAAATTAATAAAAATATCTTCAAATTTTACCGTTAATTTTTTTTAATAATATTTTTAAACTTAAAAAAAATCAATATCATTATAATTAGTTTTGGATGCTAAAACAGTTAACACTTGGTTTCAAAAATATCTTTGAATTTTCAAATGTTTGGACTTTCAATAATATCTTTGCACTCTTTTAGACACTTCAAAATCACCTTTAAACTATTTTAAAAAGTACATTTGTGGTTAGTACCTCATTTTAAAAATACTCATAAACTTTCAAAAATAATATATGAAGTTTAAATATGAAGTTCAAAAACAATTTTCGTCCATATATTGATGGATTTTTTTTTTTTTACAATGATAATAGGTGTTAATGCTATTCTTTAAATGGGGTATTTTTGAACTTTTTTAACAAAGTAAAAGGGTATTAATGAATTTTTTTTTTAAGTTCAAAGAGTGTTTAAACAAATTATCATTAAACTCAATCAAAACTAATTTTTTTTTTAGATTTTTTTTTTGTTGAAAGTTTAAAAATATTATTTTTTAGATTTTTTTTGTTAAAAGTTTAAAAATATTATTGAAACTTTTGAAAATTTAGGGTATAAGAGTGTCTCAAAGTTTTTTTTTTTTTTTTTATTAATTCAGTAAGAAAAAAACAAGAATAATATAATACACATTGGAATGATTAATTATTTAAATTACCCGTTTATTTATTTTAATTTTATTTGACCATCCAATAATAGTAAGTCGACTACTCAAAGAAGAAACTAACACCCTAGCACTTGCTACAATAATAAACGCTTTTCGATAATTCTTGTTACAATAATAATCTACCATATTAGGACATCAAATTGATCCAAAGAATATTTAAGTCTAAAAGAACATTAAGCTCAAAATAGTTCCTCACAATCAAATATGAAATAGAAATAAAATAAAATATGGACTGCACAAATGATTTATTTATAAATATCTACTCAAATCACCTAACACATTGAAAGCTCTTTTTTCCAAGAACCAAAAACTAAACACCCGCCCAAGGGAATCTACTATACAGTGGGCTGTGCTTTCTAGCAAGATGTTTTCAAAGAATTGGTTTGGAAATAGAAAAAGGGTGAAGGGGTTTCGTGTACACTAGAAGGTTTGTCAGTCCAATATTTTCTCACCGGTTGAGAAGAGATTCCAAACCACTGTCCCAACCAAGTATAGCCCAACTGATACCTTGAATACATCATCCCATGAACCTGACAAGTTTCTCACATCATTTTCCTATCAGGGTTTCTCATACAATGGTGTGATTTAATAATTTGCGGATGAATCAAACTACTCGAAGTGCTTTTCTGGTATATTCTTGATAAACTAGCATAACAATATAATTTCTTTTTATCCAAGTTTTAAGTTAAATTTGGATGACAGTTCAAACTTCAAAGTTAAACAAATGTTAAGTGCAAGAGTAGAAATGATAAAGCTCTTAAGAGTTTATTAGTATTGAAAGACGTAGAACTAACCGTGTTGCAAGATGTAACCTGTAGCCGCTGTCCCAAAAACACCTGCTAAAACTCCAGCTGTGTTTGATAGACCAAGTAACACTCCCTAAATAGATATCATTGCATCAATTACAGCCTTTTTCCAACCAAAAACCAAAGCCAAGTAATCAAACTAAACGAACTTTCGAATGACTCCGAGTCGAAAACTCACAGAATATCGGGGCGCAATATCTTGATGGTTCGAATATAGACCAGATTGAGAGAATGCATCAGTTCCCTGTTCAAGTCAGCATATCAAATTAAATGTATGTTTTTCAATAAGAACAGGAAGCTATGGAAATGACATTTTAAGATGCAAACCAACCTGGCTGCAGGCCATGCACAAAACTGCCATCGCCGGAGAATCAACATGGCTCAACTGGGTCAAGAAGAATGCAGGGCCAAGAAATCCAATACTTTGCATAATCTGAAAGGTAAGAGTTTAACAAACTGTTCTGAGCCATAAGAGATTTTGTGAATTTACATAGGTATGGGTTAGGAATCACACGTATCCTTCATAATATGAAATTGTCCACTTTGAGCATAAACTCTCGTGGTTCTACTTTTAGTTTTCCCAAAAGACCTCGTACCAATGGAGATGTGTTCCTTACTTATAAACTCACGATCATTCCCTTAATTAGCCAATATGGACTCCCTCCCAACAATTCTCAACAATCCTCTCCTCGAACAAAGTATACCATAGAGCCTTCCCTGAGGTCTATGGAGCCCTCGAACAACCTCCCCTTAATTTAGGCTCAACTCTTTTCTCTAGAGCCTTTAAACAAAATACACTCTTTATTCGACACTTGAGTCACTTTTGACTACACTTTTGAGGGTCCCAACTTCTTTGTTCGACATTTGAGGATTCTATTGACATGGCTAAGTTAAGGGTATGGCTCTGATACAATGTTAAGAATCACATATCTCCGCAATAGCATGATATTGTCCACTTTGAGCTTTCATGATTTTACTTTTAACCCAAGGTCATTCCTTTATTTAGTCAATATGGGACTCCCTCCCAATAATTCTCAACCTTATCCACAAGGGTATATAAGAGTTGAATGAAGGCTGAAGGTAGAAAGTTGTCATGAAACAATTCGGCCAGTAGATTGGGTTAAGACTATTTACAAAAGATTAAGTACCGTAACCTATCAAATTAAGCTTATGTTGAAATTGTAAAAGTGTCATTTTCTTCTTAGCAAATATGGATAGTCATTAGTTTGATGTCAAGCTAATTTCGAACCCACAAGTGAGATGAGTGTTACGAATATGCATTGAAAATTGAAAGTACCGTACGACATAAGTTTTTCGGTTTAGAACATGAAGAAATATGGATGGTAGAAATATTCCTTGTTACCTTTCGAACTGTAGTCACGGAGTGGCCTCTGCTCACAAGTGTGTCGGCGATCCAGCCCCCAAGGTTTGCAGAAATTGCCATTGTTAGCCAGGGAAGAACACAAAGAAGACCAGATTCTGTGAGATTGAACTTCAGGACCTAAGTGATATTTAAAGATTCCAAATCAAGATTTACATATTGCCGAAAGAGCTGATATCGAATGACCAAACCAAATTTTTTTTCCCAAAACTCCCCGTACTTTTTTCAAGATTTTATGTGTTATGCTCTATAACCCATCAATCATTCTGTCCCTATCCTATTTACCTGAGCATGAAGATGCGTAGAACTTAAAAAGTTACCAATATTTATATATTCTGTAATTGCAAAAAACTTGGATATTGATTCAATTAGCTAAAGATTGCACTAACAAAGAGAGTAAATATGACAGGCTAGTGAAAGATCTGTCCAAATAAATTTTTACCGTGAAGTAGCAAAAAGACTTACCTGGTGATAGTATGTTGGCATCCATGTCAAAAGAATAAATGTCCCCCAATTGTGACAAAAATGAGAAACTATAAGAGCCCATACTGGTGCTTTGGACAAGATCAGTCCCCAGGGTATACTTTTAACAGGCTCCTTCGAAACGCTATTTGCAAAGATCAACTTCTTTTCTTGTGGTCTTAGTTGAGGATCCTCAAGTGGCGAACTGTGTGCCTATAGCCATGACTCAAAATCAACCACGTGTCGTTGACAAGTTCCAAGAGAATTTTATGAATCAAGACAGACCCACAGGGATTTAGACCGAATATTTTGTTGGTAG